CCTAGATCGCGACCTAAAACCCGACAAGCCGAAAAGCCGTGAACAACCCCACCCCTTAACCCAACACCCCAAAACCCAAAACCCTAAAACCCTAACCCTAAACCCTAACCCTAAACCCTAAACCCTAAACACTAAAAGCCTAAGCCCTGACCCCCTACACCCCCAAGCCCTAAACCCTAACCTTATTCTCTTCGGTGCTATGCCCAAGGCCAAGAAGAAGGCGCGCTCCAAGGCCAAAGCTCAGGTGGAGGCCACGCCCCTTGGAACCCCAAAGACTACCGGGTTTTTGGAGGTTTAGGGGGTTTAGGGTTTTGGGTTGAGTGGGCGATTACGGGGGGGATGTAGGGGGGGATTTAGGGGGGGGATTTAGGGGGGGGGGGGGGGGGGGGGGATTTAGGGGGGGGGGGATTGGGCTTTCAGGGTTTCAGGGCTCAGGGTCTAGGGTTCAGGGTTTTCGATCCTGCAGTGCCCTTGTGAGCCCTGAAGCCCTCTAAGCTTCGCGTTGAGGGTGTGGGGGGTTGAGGGTTTAGGGTTTAGGGTTTAGGGTTTGGGGTTGAGGGTTTAGGGTTCTAGGCCCTCAAATACAACGTTACCCCAAGGCTCGAAGGACTCCCATCTCGCAGCCTTGGAGGCCAAACATCTAAGTAAGGCTTCTTTTGGTCCGTTTCGCGCCTAACAATTAGAGGCACCCTGAGCCCTATAAGCCCGGAAGCACCCCCAAAAAAGCAGAATAGGTGCAGCAGTGGGAGTACGTTCATGGCATGTCTCCTTGCTTTGTGTGCAGTACATGGGCATTTCCCAAAATGGATTTAGGGGTTCGGGCTTGGCACCACTTTTTGGGGGGAGACCGAATAAGGATGCGAGTATTTGGGGGGTACCCTCCTTTTTGAGGATGTTATGATAGTACGGAGCCTTGCAGATAGCTTTTGGGTCCCGTGTGAAATGCCGCACCTCATAATGAGGACCTTTCGAATGGACCCTGGTTTAGACGACTGCCCTTTTGCAAACCCGTACAGTCTTCAAACCCTTGATCCAAGAGGGTTTGTGCGGCGTCGCCCGGCAAGGGTCGCGAAAATCCTGGTTCACCCGGTTTAGGTTAGGGCCCTATCTCCTCAACCCAACCGTGAACCCTAAACCCTAAACCCTAAATCCCAAACCCTAAACCCCAAACCCTAAACCCCAAACCCTAAACCCGACTCTTCTCGTTCGTGCTGCTAGGCGTGGCCAGCCGAGAGCGCTGCCCCGAAGGCTGGTTCTTCAGCCCTGAAACACCAGACCGAAGGGGTCTGGTTTAGGGTTTAGGGTTTAGGGTTTAGGGTTTAGGGTTTAGGGTTTCGGGTTTAGGGTGTAGGGTTTAGGGCTTAGGGTTTAGGGCTTAGGGTTTCGGGTTTAGGGTTTAGGGCCCCCTAAACCCCCCCAAATACTCCGAATCTCCTACTAGCCCCTGAACCCCCTGAACCTCCTAACCCAAAGCCCTTAGCCCTGAGCCTCCCCAAACCCCGACACCCAACCGGGCCCCAAACCCTAAACCCTGAACCCCAAACCTCCACAACTTTCCCAAACCTGCCAAACCTCCCAACCCTCCCAACCCTCCTAAACCTCTTAAACCTCCTAAACCTCCTAAACCTCCTGAACCCTCCCACACCTCCTAAACCTCCTAAGCCCTCCCAAACCTCCGAAGCCTGCACCCCAAACCCTAAACCTAAACCCTGAACCCTGAACCCTGAACCCTAAACCCTAGCCCTAAACCCCAAACTTAAGAAGGCGCCGCCGGCCCCACCGCCGCCGCCCGCAGAGCCCGAGGCACCGAAGGCGGAGGCGGAGGCCCCTCCCGAGCTTCTTCCGGCGGGGTTTAGGGTTTAGGGTTTAGGGCTTAGGGTTCAGGGTTCAGGGTTCAGGGTTCAGGGTTCAGGATTCAGGGTTCAGGGTTTCAGGTTTACGGCCAGTTTAGGGTTTAGGGTTTGGGGTGCAGAATTGGTCAGCTGCACGCCACTTGGCACATGCTTGGTGCACACTTGCTTTTGGTTCATGTGGGGATACTGGTGGATTGAGTTTGACTTGTGGGGTCACTTGGGGCCAGAAGGCAAAGGTCCCCCTCTCAACGTGTGCGCGGGAAAAGGTCTGGGCCGGAGGGTTTCGCCATTGGACCGTAGAGTCTTAGAGCCTTCCACTGTTTCTAAAAGCCCGCCAAGGGTCAGGTCAGCCACTTCCGAAAGCCTTCCATTTCGAAATGATCGAGTTAACCCTTGGCAACATTGACGGTCTGGGCCGGAGGGCCTTTTCATTGATGATCTGGCCTTCAAGGCCTCCCAAGGGTCCTTGCACGGCATGACCCTCTGCAGCCTTCTGTGCAAGACTGGGCGGGGCGGGGGCGAATCGAAAACCCGCAAAACCGCAAAACCCGAAAGAGCATCTCGGAGACCCTGAAACCAAAAGCTAAGCCCTACACCCTAAACGCCTTAAACAAATCCCTAGTGCCCTGATAAACTCCGTAGTCTCCTTAAGAACCCGAAAGCCTTTGAATGGCGATCCTGACGCCGCTTCTCAGGCAACGCCTGCCGAGAGGCCCGTCAAGAAGGCGGCAGCTCGGGGATCCAGGGGACAAGGGTTTCGGGGTTAGGGCCCTTGGGTCCGGGGTAGAACCCTAAATCCGTAAACCAGGAAGCTTCCTAAATGCTTGGGTATATGTCCCGCGTTCTAGGTACAGGGCCCCAGAGCTTCAGACTAATAATTAGGGTTTAGGGTTTAGGGTTTAGGGTTAGGGTTTAGGGTTTAGGGGTTAGCGTTTGGTTTTGGGCGTTTAGGGCTTACGCAAAGCAGGACTACTCTATAGCTGCGGTTGCTTGTACCGATGCATGGCCACAAGCTTTCTTCTGCACTGAGACATGTATCCAAGAATTGGAAAGGTTTCGTTTCTTAAAAGTATGGTTTCTGAAGAGTTTAGGTTTGTTCAGGAATCCGGAAGCTCTCTGGAGGCTATCTACGCAGAGATCTCTAAGGTAAGCCTTTAGTGCTAAACCGCAGGGAGGATCTTGAATCCTCAGCCCGAAGGCCAACACCGGGTACGAGTGTGGATCGTTTGTCAACAGCTGTGCGACCCGGAACCCTAAACCCGGAACCCTAAACCCTAAACCCTAAACCCTAAACCCTAAACCCTAAACCCTAAACCCTAAACCCTAAACCCTAAACCCTAAACCCTACACCTTAAACCCGAAACCCGAAACCCGAAACCCTAAACCCTAAACCCTAAACCCTAAACCCTAAACCCTAAACCCTAAACCCTAAACCCTAAACCCTAAACCCTAAACCCTAAACCCTAAACCCTGAGGTGGGCCTGCAGCTCGACCTGGACGCCGTCGAGGAGACGCACGTGGAGGATGAGGAGAACGCGGACCCCGAGGTTCAGGGGCTCTTTAGGGTTTAGGGTTTAGGGTTTAGGGTTTAGGGTTTAGGGTTTAGGGTTGAGGGTTGAGGGTTGAGGGTTGAGGGTTGAGGGTTTAGGGTTTAGGGGTTTGCAACTTTCGGGGTCTGAATGGTGGTCTTTGTGGGGTCCCCAAAAACCCACAGAAAACGTAAGGATCCTGCTATTGGGGCATAAGGGCCCCTATAAGGGGGATTCTGGACTACGATGATTGTGGAATCCTTGTGCTTCTGTGGGTTTTTTGGGGCCCCTACTTGAGTTTAGGGTGCGGTTTGACAATCTAGAATCTCTGTTTGAGCCACAAGATTCTTCCTTATAGGGGTCGTGGGTTGGAGGGTTTGGGGTTTCGTTGTTTTGGTCTCGCGCCCCGGCCTCAGCACATAGGGTTTGCGACTTGTGTAGGGCTTAGGGTCTCGTGGCCACTTCTGGCTGAAGTGCTGCATTGCTTTCTGGCCCCTTAAGCCTTTGACCCAAACACCAAGCACACACACGTTTACCGAGATGCGCCTGCCAAAGAAGCATGCCAACCTGTTGTCACACGGAGCCAGTCTAGGGTAGAAGGTATCATTGAGAGGTCAAAACCATCAAGCCGAAAGGCCCACAAAAAGCCCGAAGCCCTGCAACCCCAAACCCTGAAGCCCTGAAACCCCCCAAGAATCCCAATCCCCAAAACCCTAACCCCTAAACCCTGAACCCTGAACCCTAAAACCTAAACCCTAAACCCTAAACCCCTAAACCCCTAAACCCTAAACACTAACCCTTCAGGTCACGGTGAAAACAAAACTCATTTCCGGTTGCTGCTTCGTTCTTGCTGCGCTCTATTCGGTAGCTAGTGCGTAGCAGGTAACAGCAGCTAGCAGCCAGCTGTTAGTCAGGACTTGCTGCTACAGCTTTCGGTTAGGTAAGGGCTTGCGCGAATATCTGTTTCGAAGTCGTCTTTGTCGCGCGTGGCCATTGCTGCCATGGGCTGCGCAGCTACCGCTGCGAAGTCCGCAGCCGCACCTCCCGACAACAAGGATGAAAAGCTGCAGCGAGGCGGAAATCATGAGACCTTGCATGAGACTCTTGTCATCCTAAACTCCAAACCCTAAACCCTAAAACCCTAAGACGTTTCAGCCGGACGAAGTGTGTTCAAAGTGTGTTGCTGGAAGTACGTCTGAGCAGGTGGCATCAAGCTACTCGAGTGCATGGTCAAAGGGAGCAAGCCAGGGAGGGAATTTTCTGCAGAGATCTCTCTGCTTGGCGGCGGTGTGTCTGTGGCCGCTCAATTTGCGACTAAAGAGCATTTGCCCACTGACTGGCAGCACTACTCGGTGTACGCTGCAAAGGTGGTTTTCGAATATCACAACGATCAGGGAGAAGGCTCCGACATCCGTGTTGACCCTGCAATGGGAGTGCGCCTCCTAGGCGAAGATATCCTGCCGAGTGCAGCCCTTCTCGGATGCGGTTGGGCTCCCGACAACACTATATGGCAGAGGCTTCGAGAGGGTGGCAACATGGCATGGAAAGGAAGGTATGAGATGAGCACGCCAGGGGTGATGGAGACCTGCAGCCAGCGGCAGCTGGCTCCACTGGCCCCATGGCCCCATGGCCCACCATGGCTCCGCATGGTCCCATGGCTCCATGCCCCTGGCCCCTGGAATTTAAGGTCAGGGGTTCTTCACCTGGCAGGCTGTTCTCCGCATACTTGGTGTTGCAGGATGGGATGGGCCGGAGAATAGGCGAGTTCACATTGTTGAACCAGGTTGCCCTGCCTCTGGAGATGGAAACGTTTGCGTTTGAGGTGGAGCAGGTCGCCTTTACGTACCACAATGACCAGGGTGAAGGATTCGACATCCGTGTTGACCCTGCAATGGGAGTCCGCCTCCTAGGCGAAGATATCCTACCCAGTGCATCCCTTCTAGGATGCGGTTGGGGTCCCGACAACACTAGATGGCAGAGGCTTCGAGAGGGCGGAAACATGGCATGGAAAGGGAGGTATGAGATGAGACCTGCTTCAAAGGAATTGCAGCGAGGCGGGGTATGTCTAAAGTCATGGTGCGCTGAAACAGCAGCTGCAACGCCACAGGTGCAGCACCGGTGCCGGACAACGTGGCGCGGAGCTTCCTGAAGGCCTGGGAAGTGGTGCTCACAGGGCTTGGGCCACTTGGGTGGAGGGTCTAGGAGTCTAGGCAACAAGGGTCCATCAAGTCATGTGTGGACTAGAAAGGTGGCCTCTCTGAGGTGATGCTTGCGTTGCTGAAGAGTGCATGTTTTTGCCCCTTTTTGTATCGCGTTGTCTTGCGAGCACCATTGTCTTGCGAGCACCATGAGTCGAAGAGCCTCCTGTCCTATGTGATTTTTGCAGCTTGTCATGAAAAGGAGTGGTGAGGGTTTAAGGTATGGTTTGGAGTCAAAAAGGGTTGTGATAGAGTGTAGGGCTTAGTTCATGTAGGGCTTAGGGTTTCGAGTTCACCGTCTTGGATTATTGTGTACAGTTGTGAGGGGTCCGCAGTCATAGGGTTTAGGGTATTAGGGTTGGCCAGGCGATTGCTGCTGCCGCGACTGCTCGTGCAGTAGGAGGGTGAAGAACCTGGAGGAGACATCTTGCTCCAACCTCCGAAACGCGAGGAACCCTAGGCCCTAGATGGTCCTACACCCTTGGTGGCGCTGGAGAGAGGGAGAGAGCGAGAGAGAGAGAGAGAGAGAGAGAGAGACAAACAGAGAGACAGAGAGAGATGCCCCAAAACCCTAAACCCTAAAGCCTAAAGCCTAAACCCTAAACCCTAAACCCTAAACCCTAAACCCTAAGCCCTAAACCCTAAACCCTAAACCCTAAACCCTAAACCCTAAACCCTAAACCCTAAACCCTAAACCCTAAACCCTAAACCCTAAACCCTAAACCCTAAACCCTAAACCCTACTTGAGTGGGTTGTGGCTAGGCGCTGGATGAGGAGTACGTCCAGGGCGCCGGCGCCAAGGTCCGGGAGCCCAGTTGTAGGAGCCCTGAAGCTCTGTGCCATCTAAGGTTTAGGATTGGGGTTTTAAGAACTTCAGGTTTAGGGTTTAGGGTTTAGGGTTTAGGGTTTAGGGTTTAGGGTTTAGGGTTTGGGGTTGTTTTGGGCATTCTTGGACCATTGAAGCTTCGATGAGGGGTTGAGCGAGCTTCTGCCTGCAGCTAGCACCAATGATGCGGTGGAAAGGGCGCCATGTTGGCAGCACACTTTTCAGGTGGGTGAGTTCTTCGAATGCGAAGGGCACGAGGCCGGAGAGACGCGGTTCAGGGTTCAAGGTGGATGTAGGGGTTTAGGGTTTAGGGTTTAGGTATAGGAGGAGTTGGAGTGTTGTTGCTTTGGGTAGAAGGTCTGGCAAACTAGTATAGGTCAGTTCCTTCTTGACCAACTGAAGCTGCAGTGTCAGACGCTTGTCTTGCAGGCGAGATCGGTGTTTAATTCTTGCCTGTCGCTGTGTCCGGACGACGTGGGTCCAGAACCTTCCTTAGGGTTTAGGGTTCAGGGTTCAGGGTTCAGGGTTCAGGGTTTAGGGTTTAGGGTTTAGGGTTTAGGGTTTAGGGTTTCGGGTTTAGGGTTTCGGGTTTAGGGTTTAGGGTTAGGGTTTAGGGTTTAGGGTTTAGGGTTTAGGGTTTAGGGTCGAAGAATGATTTGCAGCCTTGGCCCTCAGAGCCTGGTACGTCCCGAGGCCCTCAAAGCCAAGCACCGAAAGCCCACAACTCACCCGACCCCGAAACTCAAATCCTGAAACCTCCCACCCCCAAAACCAAACCCAAAACCTTTACCCTCCCCACCCTAAACCCCAAACCCCAAACCCCAAACCCCAAACCCCAAACCCCAAACCCGAAACCCTAAACCCTAAACCCTAAACCCTAAACCCTAAACCCTAAACCCTAAACCCTAAACCCTAAACCCTAAACCCCATCCGTCACAGGAGACCCTCCTTCCCTTCGAGGAGAAGGTGCGCGCAGCCGAAGGCAAGCGGGCCACCATTCAGGCGATCGCCCAGAGCTGGGGCTTCGAGTGCCCCTGACAAGGACAGGGTTTAGGGTTTAGGGTTTAGGGTTTAGGGTTTAGGGTTTAGAGTTTAGGGTTTAGGGTTTAGGGTTTAGGGTTTCGGGTTTAGGGTTTAGGGTGGTTCAGGACATGTCGCTTGTAGTTTTTTACACCCTTCTTGCAACCTTCTGTTCTAAGCCTTGACATGAAATGAGCAAGGCAGCCGACGAAGCACCGTGGTTTGGAGTTGGGGATGTGGCAATTGTTTCGCGCAGAGTTCACGGACCTGTGCCAAGCTACTGCTGTTTGTCTCTGCGATGGATTGACCTGGTGACCTGAGCCCTTGCCTGTGGAGGGATCCAGCAGCGGACCTGTTGTAGCGACCTATAGTTTTTCAGCACGAGTTCACGCGAGCTCTCGAACAGAAAGCTGTTACATGCCTCGGTTCGGTGGGCTTGGCAACATGTCATTGGTGTTGTGCTTTGCAACCAGATCGTTAGGCTTTTAAATTTCAACGCAGCAAAAGGGTCGCCATCTCCACCATCAGGGTACGACATAGCCAACTAGCGTAGCCTGGAGCGCACAAGAGGCTTCGGCCTCGTTGATCATCGCACACGTAAAATGCAAATTTCTTCGTTTATGGTTTGCTGAATACTTCGCTCATGCTACACTTTCGCTCAGTTGTGCTTGGCTCAGTTGTGCTGGCTAGAGAAGAGGATACATTCTTGAACACCCACCCTCCGCTCCCTTTTAGCTTTGGGTTTCCCCTACCTATCTCCTTGGACCCTTGTCGGTTCCCCCTAGTTTTCTCACCCCTGCGGGGGCGCGCCTTGTACCTTTCTGTCCCTACGCCAGATCAACGTTCCCAGCACCTCAGCAGGTGCACGGGTCGCAGTCCAAGCTTCGCAGTTTCACTGTCTCACATGCATTTGCATCGCTTGAGCTTGGCTTTAAAGCCTCTGTTCCGTTTGGGGGCTAACAAGGCACCATCACTTTTCTATAGTCATCTATTGCTTCCTTACAGCCAGAGCTCAAAGCAGACGGCTCTGGATGTGGCACTTCTTCTCACAAAGCGGCGAACCTTGTTCGGGCATCGGATATGGGGAGCTGCCGGCGCTAGAGAGTCGATCTTGTCAAGTGGAACTCAAGAATCAAGGCCTTCGGGATTGATGATGCTGATATAAACCGAAACCCGAAACCCGAAACCCTACACCCTAAGCCCTAAACCCTAAACCCTAAACCCAAAACCCAAAACCCAAAACCCAAAACCCTAAACCCTAAACCCTCAACCCTTCTGAACCCCAAGCTTCAAACCGTCTGTCGGCTGTCGGTTCCCATCTCCGGGATGTCCTTGAGGGGCAGCCGCTACAACCCGGGCCTTCCTGCTGAAATAGGGTTTAGGGTTTAGGGTTTAGGGTTTAGGGTTTAGGGTAAATCAGCAGAATGACTTTGGCAAAGAAGGCAAAGAAGAGAATAGACGAGGAATCTATTTTATGAATCTATTTGGCAAGGTATCGCCGTGGCTCCGCTGCCGGATGCAAAATGGCTTCATCTGTGAGGTCTTAATTTTTCATAGGCTGTCACCCAAACTCTCCCCAGACATGCCACGGTCCCGAATACTAAAAAGAGAGGCTGCTATGGGATTTTGCTGAACTATCTACCGTGCCATGATCGTACTCATCATCTAAAGCTAAGGTACAAAGAAGCTGTCTGGGATGAGATTTCACGACATGTCGGTCTCCGTCTCTCTGTTCTGTCTCCGTCTTTATCTGTCTGAGCGGGTTGAAAGGTGCTTGCAAGCTCGTGTGTGTTGCTCGCGTGCTCAACTCCAAAACTACCATGATGCTTGTTTTTTTTTTTTCAGTGGGTCCCACACCAAGAGAACCCCGAATCCCCTGACCCTAACCCTAAACCCTAAACCCTAAACCCTAAACCCTAAACCCTAAACCCTAAACCCTAAACCCTAAACCCTAAACCCTAAACCCTAAACCCTAAACCTTAAACCCTAAACCCTAAACCCTAAACCCTAAACCCCTAAACCCTAAACCCTAAACCGTGGCTCTGCGAGATCTTGGAGCCCCCCGGAAGGCCCTTGAGGAGAACGAGGAGGCCGAGGCTGAGGCCGAGACCGAGGAGCGCAAGGAAACTGAGGCAAGGCTAGGGTTTGTTTAGGGTTTAGGGTTTAGGGTTTAGGGTTTAGGGTTTAGGGATTAGGGTTTAGGGTTTAGGGTTTAGGTTTTAGGGTTTAGGGTTTAGGGTTTAGGGTTTGGGGTTTAGGGTTTAGGGTTTGGGGTTTGGGGTTTAGGGATTAGGGTTTAGGGTTTGGGGTTCAGGGTTTGGGGTTTGGGGTTTGGGGTGTGGGGTTTGGTTTGGGGTTCACAGAATCGGTTAAAGTATTCAGGGGTTTTTGGGGGCGTTTGAGGGGGCTATAGTGGTTTGAGGGTCCTTAGTAGGGTGTTTTGGGGGTTTAGGGTATTGATGGGGTTTAAGGGGGTGTGGGGGGGTGTGGGTTTAAGGTTTTGGGTGGTCGGTTGTCTTGGGTGGTTGGGGTTCAAGGTGCTCTTCGGGGTTTGGGGAATTGGGATCCTATGCGCTTTTCCTACACCCTTCCGACTGAGCAGGGTTCATGGTGGCACGTCTAGAGGGCACTGCTCGCGCCCTGAGGCCGCAAAGCTTCATTGCACCCGAAACCCCAAAGGCGGAGATCCTGATGGATGCGGCTGGGGGCGCGAGCCAGCTGCTGGGCAAAAGCAGTTAGTCGTGGATGGGGTCAAGCCGAGGATTGCAGACCCCAAGCCCTAAACCCTGGGGTCAAGCCGAGGATTGCAGACCCCATCCACCCTCAACCCTATAAAGCCAAAACCCTCAACCCGATAAAGCCTAAACCCTGAACCATAAAAACCGAAAGCTCCGAGTTTTGGGGTTCATCTATGGAAGTCATGTCTTATATCGCGGAATAAATCCCTCTGTTTCTCGCTTTCTCTCTCTCTCTCTCTCTCGCTCTCTCTCTCTCTCTCTCTCTCTCTCTCTCTCTCCTCTCTCTCCCTCCCTCCTCCCCTCCCTCCCTCCCTCCCTCCTCCCATCCCTCCTCCCTCCTCCCCCCTCCCTCCCTCCCTCCCTCCCTCCCTCTCCTCTCTCTCTGTACAAGACACACATGTATATGTGTATAGGTACATATGTATGTGTGTGTGCTATATATATGTATATATATATATATATATATTTTTGTGTTTTGGAAACACATATGTATGAGTGCTAGCTTGCACGGAATACTGTCGGACCTTGTCTAGAAGGTTTTTTGGTTTATCTAGGGCTTTCAAGGGGTTCGCTTTCGGGTTCCGGACGATGCTCTCAAAAGTGTGACCTTTTGGCATGCCAGTGAGTCTTACCCGCCAGTTCATATCCGGCGGAGTGAGCGGATTCTGTTTGAGCCTTCGTATTTGGATCAACCCAGGTGGTGGGCTGAGTATTTCTCTCCAGGAGATGGGGGAGTCTCGAAGAACCTTCCTAGGAGAGCAGCTGCCCCGACTCAAACCCTAAACCCTAAACCCTAAACCCTAAACCCGAAACCCTCAACCCTCAACTCTAAACTCCAACCCTAAACCCTAAACCCGAAACCCTCAACCCTCAACTCTAAACTCCAACCCTAAACCCTAAACCCGAAACCCTAAACCTGAAACCCCAAACCCCAAAGCCCTAAACCCCAAACCCCAAAGCCCTAAACCCTTAAACCCCAAAGCGGCTAGAAGCCCCAAAGCCTGCTAAAAAGAGGCTCCAATACCCCTTAATTAAGGAAGATTCCTTAAAGCCCTCTTGTATTTTAAAGGAATATTCCTTAATTAAGGGGTATTGGAGTCCCTGGGGTGCTAACAAGAGGTTCAGCACCCTAAACCCTAAACCCCAAACCCCAAAGCCCTAAACCGCAAGAGCCCAAAAGCCTGAACCCCAAACCCTACACCCTAAACTCCAAGAGCCCCAAACGCCTGCTAAAAAGAGGTTCAGCATGCCAGACCAGAAGGGCCGGCTGCCGGTGCACGTCGGGGCGGTGTCCAAGCGTCTGGACACGATGACGCTGCGCCCTGGCCGTTGAAGGTTTTCTGGAGTTTAGGGTTTAGGGTTTAGGGTTTAGGGTTTAGGGTTTAGGGTTTTTGATATGGGTTTATAGGGGGTTTAGGGGGTTCTCTTGGGTCTTCGGGGAGTTTTTCAGGGGTTTTATAGGGGCTTTAGAGGGTTTCATAGAGGTTTTTTTGGGTTTTATCGGGCTTTAAACATAGGGTTTTGTAAGGTTTTGGGGTTTTAGAGGGTTTTGTAGTTGTTTTATTGGGTGTTTACGGGGTTTTGTCGGGTTTGAGTATAGGGAGAGGGGTTTAAAGGTGTTTAAAGGGGTTTATAGGGGTTTGTAGGGGTTGATGAGGAGTTTACAGGGCTTCATAGAGTTTAAAGGGGTTCGAAGGGACAAAGGGTGGTTTGTAGGGTTTTGTACCCTAACACCCTAAAACCCTAAAACCCAAAAACCCTAAAACCCTAAAACCCAAAAACCCAAAAACCTAAAACCCTAAAACCCTAAAACCCTAAAACCCTAAAACCCTGAAACCCTGAAACCCTAAAACCCTAAAGCCCTAAGCCCTATATGCCCTATAAGCCCTATAAGCCCTATAAGCCCTATAAGCCCTATAAGGCCTATAAGCCCTATAAGTTCTATAAACCCTATAAACCCTATGAACCCTAAACCCTAAACCCTAAACCCTAAACCCTAATCCCTAAACCCTAAACCCTAAACCCCAAACCCTAATCCCTAATCCCTAAACCCTGAACCCTAAGCCTCACACCAAAAGCGCAGAAGGCTCCTCGAGTTGCGCGCGAACGTGGATGCCGCGGACAAGGAGCCGACCTCGCCACACCTAAACCCTAAACCCTAGACCCTAGACCCTAGACCCTAAACCCTAAACCCTAAACCCTAAACCCTAAACCCTAAACCCTAAACCCTAAACCCTAAACCCTAAACCCTAAACCCTGAGTGTCGAGGTTTTTGTGTACTTTTTGCCTGAGAGCGCTTCTGGTCAGGAGTTTAGGGGTTTAGGGACTTCCAGTGCAGGGTTTAGGGCTCAGGGTCTAAGGTTCCTGGAACTTCTTAAATTTGGTTTATATTTAGGGTTTAGGGTTTAGGGTTTAGGGTTTAGGGTGTAGGGTGTAGGGTTTAGGGTTTAGGGTTTAGGGTTTAGGGTTTAGGGGTTAGGCCAGCGACGGTACCTGCAATCCGGGCCTTCGACAGCTTACATTCCGAAAAGCCTGTGCACTGCGTTTTTCGAGTAGGTGTTGCGATCTTCGCCCTAAACTCTGAGCCCTCAAACTTAGGGTTTAGGGTTTAGGGTTTAACCTACACCGAAACCTTAAACCGCCGGGTTTTGCAGGTTTATGGTTCTTCCCAACCCCTAAAGCTTCTGCGAAACCCTAAGCCTAAACCCTAAACCCCGTAGCCCCAAAACCTAAATCCCCAAACCCTGAAATCCCTAAACCCGAAACCCCCTAAACCCCTTCTAAACCCCCTAAACCCTACAGGGTTTATAGGGACCCTGGGATGCTTGGAAGGAGGGCAACACACCCTAAACCCTAAACCCTAAACCCTAAACCCTAAACCCTAAACCCTAAACCCTAAACCCTAAACCCTAAACCCTAAACCCTGAACCCTGAACCCTGAACCCTGAACCCTAAACCCTAAACCCTGAACCCTAAACCCTAAACCCTAATCAACCCACAACCCTAAACCCTCAACCCTAAACCCTAAACCCTAAACCCTCAACCCCTAAACCTAAACCCGAAAGGGCTCCCTGGGATTCTTGGAAGGATGGCAACACACCCTTGATCCTCGCGGCCCGCCTGGACGACCGCTGGATGGTGGAGGTGCCCAGCAAAAAACCTTGAGGCCTAAAGCCCTCATCTTGATAGTTGGGGATGTTTGGGGTTTAGGGTTTAGGGGTTGAGGGTTTAGGGTTTAGGCTAATTCTTGGGTACTAGAATTCCTAAGTAACAGCTAAAGTTATGGTTTTTTTGCTAAGGTCAAGGATGAGCCTTCGACCCGAAACCCGAAGTAGGTAGGCCCTTGGGACATTTTGTCTTTTCCTTTTAACAGGATCATTCAGAGGGTTTTTAAGGGCCAACCTAGCGAAGGTTTAGGGTTCTTAGGGGGTTTGGGGTTTGGGGTTTAGGATTTAGGGGGTTTAGGGTTTTAGGGGGTTTGGGGTTTAGGGGGTTTAGGTTCCAGAGGGTTTGGGGTTTTAGGGGGTTTAGGGTTTCGTAGAACCGGCCTGGACTCAGAGTACATTTAAAGGCTTGTCCATAGCGTCCTGCCACAACGTTAAGAGGGGTTTCTGAAGCCGTTCAAGTGGGTCAACTTTTTAGTGTCTGAGGACGAATCCTGCCTCTGGTGCCACAGGATGCTGCTAGATTCAGCGAGACGACTCGCTTCTTCTGGCATGAATCCGATGTTAAGGTCGGGCCTTGACAGCCAATCGCTTAGGGTTTAGGGTTTAGGGTTTAGGGTTTAGGGTCACGATGTACTCAGCACAAGATTCTTGAGCCCGTGCGCTCCAGCGAACGGTAAGAAGGCCGAGGCCTGTACCCACAGCCCTCCAAGCACTTGAGCACACCAACCCTAACTTCCCAAACCCGAACTCCCCTAAGCCCTAAACCCCAAACCCGAACTCCCTAAACCCTAAACCCTAAACCCTAAACCCTAAACCCTAAACCCTAAACCCTAAACCCCAAACCCCAAACCCTAAACCCTAAACCCTAAACCCTACACCTCCATCCCAGAGGTCATCCTGAAGTTCGGCGCCGACACGGGTATCAGGCCTGGCGCTCTGAGGGATGGCGGGAAGTCACACCCTTGAATTTAGGGTTTAGGGTTTAGGGTTTAGGGTTTGGGGTTTAGGGTTTAGGGTTTAGGGTTTAGGGTTTGGGGTTGAGGGTTTAGGGTTTAGGGTTTAGGGAGTTCGGGTTTGGGGGAGTTAGGGTTCCCCTAAATTTTCATTCTAGACCCTCTTGTAGAATGAAGGCCCACGTAGCCCGTTTAGGCTCTGCTTGGGCTTTGTTTTGGCTTAAGGTGATATGATAGGATCCCAGAATTTGTTGCGTTAAGGCTTGAAGGGGACGATGGGCGATGTGAAAGATCTGCTTTGCTGGTGTGCGAGAGAGAGCGAGAGCTTTATGCACAGTTGACTACCCCGAACCCTAGACGCGGCCCTAAGCCCCAAAGCCTCGAAAGCCTCGAAAGCCTCGAAAGCCTCGAAAGCCTCGAAAGCCTCGAAAGCTAAATTGGCACATGTTGACACGGGCCTGTGCCAGGAACTCTGACAACGAGACCTGCTACTCCTACGCCACGGCGCACGTGAAGGAGCTAGGGGACGCCCTAAATGCCCTACAGCTTACGCTTCTTCTTTTTTTTTTTGGGGGGGGGGGGGTGGTGGAGGGGTGGAAAGGGGAGGGAGTCCTCGTACGGGCCAAGCCCCCAATCATTTCCATAGCTCCCCAAATGCCTAAAGGAGTTGATCCTCCACTGGGTCCAGCAGCAGAAGTACACGCCGAACGTGGTGTTTCCGCTGCCCCCGTGCCCGCTGCAGCAGCTGTACCGGGTGCCTCGCGCTGTTACAGGTTAGGTCCGAAGAAGCCCCGAGCCCTAAACCGTACAAGAAAACTGCTGCAAGCGGTGAGCCCTAGCACCGCAGGTACCCCCAAACCCCAGGTCCTAAACCCTAAACCCTAAACCCTAAACCCTAAACCCTAAACCCTAAACCCTAAACCCTAAACCCTAAACCCTAAACCCTAAACCCTAAACTCCAAACCCTAAACGCTAAACCCCAAACCCTAAGCCCTAAGCCGCTCAAAACCCGAAGCCTCCTCAAGCTCCAGAGGCGTCGACCGCGAACTTGATTCCCTCGAATCCCTTGAGCCCCTAAACCCCAAGCCCCTGCCGCACGGAGCTTCGGGGCCCTAAACCGTAAACCCTAAACCCTAAACCCTAAACCCTAGACCCTAGACCCTAGACCCTAAACCCTAAACCCAAAACCCAAAACCCTAAACCCTAAACCCTAAACCCTAAACCCTAAACCCTAAACCCTAAACCCTAGACCCTAAACCCTAAACTCTAAAACCCTAGAACCTCAAAAACCTAAACTCTAAACCCCAAAACCATTTCTACAATTAGCTTCACAGGATTGTATGGGTGTTGCTTCGCTCGCCCACGGCATCTGCTCAGGTCCGTGTGGAGGCCATACCAATGCCGCTGGTCAGCACTTGGAACCCTAAACCCGGATAAGAATGAAGGTTTAGGGTTTCGGGTTTCGGGTTTAGGGTCTAGGGTTCAGGGGTTGGGTAAGCATTGGCTGGCTCGCATTGATTCCTACACGTCATGAGAACGAACCCCTATCGTTCTCCATGACGCCAGCTCTTATCCCCAGTGCCCCCCGCGCCCCGGGAGGTAATGAGGCTTCATGGTTCAGGGCCAAGAGGGCTGAGGGCTTCAGTGCCCCCAAGCCTCAACCCGTAAGTAGCAATCCGAAATCCGAACTCCTAAGAGGTAATAGATGCTTCGAATAGGCTCTGAAGCTTCTTTGGCCAGAGGGTGCTTGCAAGCCATTCTCAGAGACCCTCCCTGATCCGGTGCCGCTGAGGTTAATGCACCTGCCAGAGCTTGAAGAACAGGCTTTTGGGTGCGGGGGTGCGGAGAGGGGGTTTTGTGCTTCGGGTTTAGGTTTAGGGTTTAGGGTTTAGGGTTTAGGGTTTAGGGTTTAGGGTTTAGGGTTTAGGGTTTAGGGTTTAGGGTTGATTGGGAGTGGTGGATTTCTCAGCTGTTGAAATCCTAGGGAGCCATGGGCTCCAGACAGTGCGTGAAGGTGTGAGGGTAGTTCAAAGTAGAGTCAGAAGTAAGGCAACATAGACCTTTGCACCTTTATCACTACCCCATGAGCCTTCAAGTATAGATGAGTCTAGGATTTTAGGGCTTAGGGTTTAGGATTTTGGGGGTTAGGGTTTCTACGGAGAAGGACAAAGACATCCCTCCCCTGTCCCCCGCCCGATACTCGCCGAATCGCATGCCAAACCCCCAAAGCCCTTAAACCCTAAACCGGGTTTAGGGTTTAGGGTTTAGGGTTAGGGTTTAGGGTTTAGGGTTTAGGGTTTAGGGCTTAGGGTTGATGCTCGTGTCAGACAAGTCTCGGCAAGTCTCCCAACTAACGATCAGGGCTTTTGGGTTTACATTTCTACTCGTACTTCCCTTCTGGTCCCTTTAGAAATATACTATATTTAGGGTTTTCTAAGGCAAAAAAAACCTAAATGGCCCCTTTAGACCTTTAGAAATATACTCTAAGAACCCCCCAAAGGCCTGGTCGAATTGTTAAGGCCCTTCTACTTAGCCCAAGCCGGGGATGAGGGTTCTATCTCGGCCTCCCGCAAGGTTCTGCAGTTCTTCGCGAAACTGTCCTACGAGACTGGCCTTTCATGGTGACCTTGAGCCCTAAACCTAAACCCTAAACACCCTAAACCCTAAACACCCTAAACACCCTAAACACCCTAAACACCCTAAACACCCTAAACACCCTAAACACCCTAAACACCCTAAACACCCTCAACCCCCTAAGCCTCCTAAGCCCCCTACACCCCCTAAACCCTAAACCCTAAACCCGAAACCCTAAACACTAGACGTGAACTTCGAGCCTGCAAGACTAAGCTCTGGTAGCCCCTCTGGGCTTCTTGATCGTGCAAGGTTTAGGGCCGTAAAGGTTTCGGGTTTAGGGTTTAGGGTTTAGGGTTTGGGTTTGTAAGGGGCCCAGGGTGTAGTCCCCGTTCTGTTGTTGCTCTGTTGTTGGGCTCTTTTGGCAACCCGTTCGTGCCGTGACCCAATTCCTACGCGGTCTCCCCGACGCCTCGACAGAGAGAGAGAGAGAGATTAGGGTCTTCCTAACAAACAGACCAGCGGACTTCGCGCGCCCTTTGGGGCAGCCTTCCCTTCGGGGGGGCTAAGCGTGCAGGAGAGAGAGAGAGAGAGAGAGATTAGGGTGTAGGGTTTAGGTTTAGGGTTTAGTTTCGGGCGAGGGAAACCTGACAAAGCCCCAAACTCTGCCCTAAAGCCTAAATCCAAAATCCTGAACCCTAAATCCTGAACCCTAAACCCCAAAACCCTAAACCCTAAACCCTAAACCCTAAACCCTAAACCCTAAACCCTACACCTCGTCACCAAGGAGAAGCCGATGCGGATCATTGTCCCCTCGGAGCCCATTCATGGGTGGCCCAAGGTCGGGGCTTAGAAGGGTGAGGGTTCAGGGTTTAGGGTTTAGGGTTCAGGGTTTAGGGTTTAGGGTTTAGGGTTCAGGGTTTAGGGTTTAGGGTTTAGGGTTTAGGGTGGGGTTTAGGGCTTGGGGTCTGTTTTTTTTTTCGAGTTGGGGTTCAGGGTTTCCAGTTATATAGGGTTTTTGGGTTTAGGGTTTGCGGTTAGGTTGCAGGGTCTTGGGGTTTAGGGCATAGAGTTTGGGGTTCAGGGCCTCTTGGGGTTTAGGGTCTGGCAGTTTCAGGGATCGGGTGCGAGGAGCTGACTGCGAAAGCACTGTGCCAGAAATCTGAACACTAAGCCCTGAGCCCAAAACCCTGCGGTTTAGGGTTTAGGGTTTTGGTTTTACCAAAACCTCACCCCTAAACCCGAAACCCTCAACCCTGAGCCCAAAGCCCGACATCATAAGGAAGCCCAAAGCCTGAACCCTGAAACCTTGAAACCCTAAACCCTAAACCCTAAACCCTGAACCCTGAAACCTTGAAACCCTTAAGGAAGAAGGCAGGGCCTGAAAGAAGAGTTTTCCACAGTTCTTTGCAGTACGACATCCTTGGAAAGTGCCCTCACCCCTGCACCGGATGTAGTTCCTCCGTACCTGCAGAAGCCCTAAACCATAAGCCCTAAACCCCAAGCCCTAAACCATAAACCCAAAAACCTAGGCCGTTGATAACCCCATCAGGGGTCGCCTACAAGAGTCACTCCAATAGTCCTGTGCTGGAGGGTCCGTTGGTTTGAGGGGTTGTTGGGACTCCATGACAGGGCTTCTGCTATGCGGACTATTCTGAGAAGCAGCACGCTTTGGACATCTGCAAGGCCACTCTTTTCTTGACGGAGGGGCTGTCTTGGGGGGGGGCGGGCTGTTAGGGGTCCTGGGTTGGGTGTGTTTAATGAGGGCTCAGGTTAAACCTTCCATCCACCCGAGGCGAACTTGCCCCAGGGGTTCGCGGCAGCTGGGAGTTGAGGGCTTTTGCTTCTTCCAGTTGGGGAGGGGGCCCGGGAAGGGTGAGGGAGGAGGGGGGAAAACTAACTAAGCCCTCAACCAGCGCGTCCCTGGGCCCTAGGCCCTCCCACCCAACATCCTTTATTCTGCAAAACCCTAAAGCCTCAACCCTCAACCCTTCACTTCGCACTGAGTTGTTTCGGGCTGGCCGGGCCGGCTTTGGGGTTTCAGGGTTAATATAGGGGTCGGACTAATTACTGCTTTTTCGAGCTGGTGTTGAACAGAGCTTCTTCATTTGGTGGTGCTACTTGCGGCGATTTTCGTTTGGACGGCAGCTTTCATGGACTGGATGGCTGGCGCCTTGTCTTGGCTCCCCTCCTTTTCTGCTTTTTCGAGCTGGCCTTGGCGACAGTCTGTACTTTTTGGTGGTGAGCGCCTTTGGTTTACAACTGGGCTCGGCGGCGACTTTCAGGCGTCTAACCGCTTTTCTAAGTAAGCACAGGTTGGCGACCTACTACGACTACGACTTACTGATATCATTCGCTTATGGTGCCCTTATGATTTTACTTATTGTGAGGAGCCTCGAATTCGTCGGCTTCGAACCATGAACCCTCATCTCGCCGGCGAAAACTCTAAAGTACTCAAGGGGCGCTTCTCGGTGGTTCTCTACCGCACCCTGAGATACGTAGACTTTTTGCTCCTGAACTTAAGGTTTCGGGCAAACCCTAAGCCCTAAGCCCTAAGCCCGAAATAGACCCTAAACCCTAAACCCTAAACCCTAAACCCTAAACCCCAAACCCCAAACCCGAAACCCTAAACCCCTAAACCCTAAACCCTAAACCCTAAACCCTAAACCCTAAACCCTAAACCCTAAACCCTAAACCCTAAACCCTAAACCCTAAACCCTAAACCCTGCACAAGTGGCCTCACCCGAAGCAGGCGTCGAAGGTAGATGGCATCTTCATGATGCGGCGCCGGCTGAACTTCATCAACCAGGGTGTGCACTACCAGTACAAGGCAGACTCGTTGACAAAGGGTGGTTGCTTGCTGTTGGTTAGCAGGGAATGAGGGAATGAGGCACCCTATACAGTATCCCCGTATGTATAACCTTTAAGGGGTCATATAGGGTTCCTCAGTCCATTATTCCCTACTAAACCAACAGTAAGGTTGTGTGTTGACTGAGAGGTCCATTGACGATCCATGGGCAGTTGAGTGTCTGCTGTTGAGGGATTATACTAGGGTTTAGGGTTTGGGGTTTAGGGTTTCAGGGTTGGGCGTCAGAAGTTCGGCTGATGTCGAGTTTCTCAAGCAAGTGCATGTGCAAGGGGCAATAGATGCCCATGCGGTGTGGCGGGACTCACATTGAGCAATATTGAGCACACGTGCGACACCAAGCTCACTCCGGACCAGCCTCCGTAAATCCTAAACCGTAAAAACCCTAAACCCTAAACCTTAAACCCTGAACCCTAAACCCTACATAAACCCTGCCCCAGATCATCATTGGAGGACCCGACTGCCGAGGAGGCGGCCAAAGAGGAGCCGAACGAGCCCTGAAGGGACGTCACGGATTGCGCAACGAAAGCCGCCAGACAGTAGCAGAGTCGGGGCGTGGAGTGACGTCTTCGAAGTGCGCCAGACCCTCAAAACCCTACCACAGGCCTATGACTCTAACTATGTGGGGGTTTAGGGTTTAGGGTTTCGGGTTTAGGGTTTAGGGGGGGTTGGATGCTGTTGGCAACTATTCTGGACACCTGTACTAAGCCGGTATGGATTGTATGGAACCAATTCCAGCTGCCTGGCCGCGCATCTGGCCTTGAAGCGATCTAGCTAGGATGAAGATGTGACTTGTTGATGGAGACACTGCCCGAAACCCTAAACCCTAAACCCTAAACCCTAAACCCTAAACCCGAAACCCTCTACCCTCTAAACCCTGAACCCCAAACCCCAAACCCCAAACCCCAAACCCCAAACCCCAAACCCCAAACCCCAAACACCAAACCCTAAACCCTAAACCCCAAACCCCAAACCCTAAACCCTAACCCTAAACCCTGTGACCAGCGCCATTCCACGCCTCTCCCGTAGTTGAATTCGCGAGAGGCCACACGACGCCCCCATGGGTGCAATTCCAGTAGCCCCTCCCTGGCGACTTTAGGCTTCCGATGGGGTGTAGGGGTTTGGGGTTTAGGGTTTAGGGTTTAGGGTTAAGGGTTTAGGGTTTAGGGTTAAGGGCTTAGGTGCGCGCCCGGAAATTCGGAGATCTTGCCCCCAAAAGTATACACAGCTTCTTGCGTGCATGGAATTCGAAGTTTGCACGAAGGCAAAGCGCACCTGCCAACTGCGGTTGAGGCTTGGAAAAAGGGGGTTTAGGGTTTAGGGTTTAGGGTTTAGGGTTTAGGGCTTAGGTTCCCGTATTGAGGATACCGTCTTCTGGGGTTGCTTGGATCCTACAACAAGGATAATCGAGTGTTTGGGGGTGCCGTAGGGCCCTCTCAGCCCTTAAAACCAAAACCCATAAACAGCTGGCCAGCAGGGAGAAGGGCCTAAGGCTTCAGGATTCAACGCTGCCAGGTTGTCAGCTTCATCATTGCGCGAGGTTTCGCGGGGTGAGAGGGGGCTTGGCACGGTAGTGCTCACCAGTATCAAGGAGCCACCCTGAACCATCTAACCTTGAATTGTAATCCCCCAAGCCCCAACACAACCCCCTAAGCCTCAGGGTTTTGGGGTCTTGAGGGTTTTTTGGGTCGTTGGGGTCTTTGGGGTTTTGCAGGTTAAGGGGTTTGAGAGTTTGGGGTTTAAGGTTCAGTCATGGGGGATGAGGCGCTGCGGGTAAGAATGAGCCCATGGCAGTAGCGAAATTGTAGTTCTGAGGTTGCATGTTCGTGCCCTAAACCCTAAACAGAACCTAAACCCTTTTTCGAAGCATGGCTATGAGTAGTTAGATGTTAGGCGACGTGCCCTTTTCGATTCCCTAAACTCCCCCCCTAAACTCCCCAACAAACTTTTCGGAATCTGCGCAAGGGTAGACTGTTTGGGAGAGTTTTGGTCAGGCCCCCCCCTCTCCACATGGACCAGGTGTTAAAGAGCCCACACGCCGGCGCAGCTTGCGAGCACACGTGGTAATAGATCTCCCGCACTTCCGAACCGAGACCCTAAACCCTAAACCCTAAAAAACCCTAAGCCCTCAACCCTAAACCCTAAACCCTAAACCCTAAACCCTAAACCCTCAACCCTAAAGCCTAAATCCGAAAATCGAGACTCCTGACCCCAAACCCAAAAGTTGGGAGATGTCTAACTCCGAGCTCTCAGCCTCGCTCCAAGTCATCGGCCTCCCCGAATTCCCACAAGCCCCAGCTCCAAGCCTAACCCTAGACCCTAGACCCTAGACCCTAGACCCTAGACCCTAGACCCTAGACCCTAGACCCTAGACCCTAGACCCTAGACCCTAAACCCTAAACCCTAAACCCTAAACCCTAAACCCTAAACCCTAAACCCTAAACCCTAAACCCTTAACCCTTAACCCTTAACCCTAAACCCTCAACCCGAAATCCCAAACCCCATGGCCACTCGCAGCAGAGACGGCCGGTGCTGTCGGCCGACATGACAGCTGCAGTTGAGGAACCCTCCTGAAATCCAAAGCCCTGAACCCTACAGTAGGGTTTAAAGTTTAGGGTTTAGGGTTGAGGGTTTAGGGTTTAGGGTTGAGGGTTTAGGGTTGAGGGCTTCGTGTACAACAGGATCCGGCTGCGGGGAGAGATTGGGGCTTTTGCTCGGGTCCTGAAAGGTCTGTGTAGGTGCTGAAGAGGACCATGGGACACCTGGGTTTCGGGTTGAGAAGAAACTCCAAAACCCCTTAATTAAGGAATATACCTTGAATCATATTGGGGTTCCTATTCTATTTTAAGGGATACTCCTTAATTAAGGGGTTTGGGAGTCTCTGGGTGAGAAGATCTACCCAAAGGTTGCTGAGAGATAGACTGCAAGACGTAAGTCGTGAAGCCAAAGCCCTGAACCCTAAACCCTGCAGCCTCGATTGTTAAAATTTTTAGAGCCCTAAACCCTAAACCCTAAACCCTAAACCCTAAACCCTAAACCCTAAACCCTAAACCCTAAACCCTAAACCCTAAACCCTAAACCCTAAACCCTAACCTAAACCCTAAACCCTAAACCCTAAACCCTAAACCCTAAACCCTAAACCCTAAACCCTAAACCCTAAACCCTAAACCCCAAACCCCAAAACCTAAACCCTCAACCTTAAAGCCTAAACCGTGAAGGACTTCCCGAAAGAGTGGCCTCCAGTGAAGCTGAAGGCAGGGCCTTGGGGCTCAGAGTTTCACGACCTTGGTCACCTTGGTCACCTTGGCCACCCCCCCCCCCGCCCAAACCCGAAGTATGGGCTTGGGGTTTAGGGTTTAGGGTTTTGGGTTTAGCGAGAGGGTGGGTTGGGGGGGGAGGATAGCATGTAGGGTGGACGTGGAATTTACGGCAAGAGCCGTCTAGAGTTGAGGTTGGAGGGTGTAGTAGGGCTGCAGGGTGGTGATTTAGGGCATGGGGTACGTAGGTAGGCTGGGGCCTTTACTTCCGTGGGGCCTTTACTTCCTTAGATTTCAGGGACCGAAAAGGGGTCACTGGTCTAAGGGTTCGGGGTCTTGATATTTTGAGAATTGGGCAGGGCTCCAACCTCCGAGAGCAGTAGGCCTTCCCATGAGGCTTGGCTCAGCAGAGCCACCCCCCTCCCCCCCGCCCCCTCACCCCTCCTTCTCTCCGGCCCCCGGTGCTCCATGCGGGACAGGCATCTTCCGCCGACTACTACTTCGAGTCCTACAACCACTATGGCGTGCATGAGGAGACTATTCGGAGCGGTTAGTGTGTGAGGTTCAGACCCGGCGATGTCGTTCTTTAGCCCCTGGACCCTGAGCTACACCTTGCGACCTTGTGTTGCTGGCAGGGTCACATCCTGGGCGTCGTCCCCAAGCGCTCCCTGCAATGTCATGGGCAAGACCCCTGCTTCAGAACATCGGAACCCTTGTTTACAGCTCTAATATAGAAAAGGCAGAACTATGTTTGCATATACACTACAAAAATAGAAACCTACATACATACATGCACACGTACATACATACATACATACATACATACATACATACATACATACATACATACATACATACATACATACATACATACATACATGCACACGTACGTACATGGAGGTCTGCTCGGCATAAAGGCCATCGCTTGGGCATCTTGTCGGCTCCTGGTCCTCGTATCGGCTTGTGAGCTGTCGTGCCCTTAGCTTCGGATTTTTTTCGGGAAGAGTGCCTTGGATTGATCAGCAACCCAGAAGTTACGGCAGCATTGGCTGCGGCTAAGAATTTTGGGCTGAAGTTGTTGGGTTTACTGCTATGGCCTGGCATCGGGCAGTGCGGACGACGTTCCTTGCGACGCCCATTCTGCTTTGGGCATATGCACCCAGCTTCGCCATTCCAGCCTCGAGGCAAAAACCCACCAGTGTGGTCCGCGAGCAAAACGGGTTAAGCATCAGCATGAAAGCCCCCGGGTCAGCCTATGAGATGTCTGCCAAGGAGAAGGTGCTCGCCTCGAGGTTGTCAGAGTTTGGCAAAAGGGGTGATTGGCAAGGTGCCCGTCAGCTGTATGCAACGTACACGGACTTTTCTGTCCCAGTGCTCACTGCGGCCATGCAGGCAGCGTATCGTTGTGGACAGTATCAGGAAGCTGCCAGAATCTACAGCAAAGTGTGTGGCGCGCGCAGGGAGTTGGACGGGGTCGGCCTTCTTGTGGGGCTGAAGGTGTTCGGAAAATTGAGAGATTCATCAATGGTTGATGCCATATGGGCCGAGGCATCAGAGAGAGGTTTGGTTGACATGCCATTACGTGGTGCTCGCATAGATGCAGCCGCATACATGGGAGACATTGAGGCGGCGGCCACTGTGTTAGACAGCATGCTCACGCAGACGATTGATATCGATGTGTATAAATTCAACTCAGCAATCTTTGCCTGTGCCAATGCAGAACGACCAGGACACAACGCAGCCATGTACCTGTTCAAGCTGTTGCTGGAACGCAATTTATCACCGACTGTCGTGACTTTCACCAACTTGGCTAAGGCACACGCGAGAGCAAGTCTTGAACAGATCCAACATGTACGCGCCACTATGAAAAAGTATGGCATTCGTTCCGATCCCATTTTCGCTGAGTGTTATGTGAGTGCGCTGCTGCAGGGGAAGTTTGGACACACCGCCTCCACCACCGCGGACCTTGCAGATCTTCCTGAACGTGAAGGAAGACTGCAAGAAGCTGAGACTGCACTTCTCGAGTTCCAAGCCAACAATGTCGATTTGAGCGGAATGTGTCGCGCGATACTAAGATACGTGCGCAAGTCAAGCTTGTGAATCGGTGAAGGCCGCCCTACATACCCAAATCGGAAGGCTCGGACAAGTCTACAGGAAAGCCCAGCTGACGCCCGAGTACAGGCTTGCTGCTTTGTTGCCACTGCCTTCGTGGTTGCCCTCCGGAAATGTCATAGCACTCCCTGACCTCTCACCACCTAACCGCTCCAAGCCCTTCCCTTCCAATTCAAGAGTCACTCCCAAGAATTGCGCGAGACAGCGTCTTGTGAAGCTTGGAGGACATCTTCAAGGACGGCGTAACGATCCCGGCATTTCAGCAAGCCATTCTACAGAGCGGGTGGCCCTGGTCGGCGTGAGGGGGCAGGGGCTCCTACAAAAGTTTTCACTGGCAGTACGGGCTCGTTCAACTTCCCAGATCCTCTCACGAGGTCTGGAAGCTGAATTGGCTCCTGCTTAGGGTATAGGGTATTCTAGGATTTAGGATTGCTTCAGGGCTTGTCGGGTTCTTTGTGTTTTGCCGGGTGTTTTAGGATTTAGAGTGAAGGTTCTCATGCCAGAGCTAACCGTAAGCCCTGTATGCTCTTCATCCAACATGAGTCCTAGTCCTAGACCCTGAATCCGTCAAAAACCCTCAAGCAGTTAGGGATGTTTAGGGGTTTTTGATTTAGGCCCTCAGCCCTAAGCCCCTGCGGCGTGTGCTGACCTTGGGGCAAAACCAGCGCATCTACTGCGAGAAGAGTTTCGACTGTGATTTCGGTTCTGTGTCTTAGGGGCTTCTGGCTAAACCCTAAACCCTAAACCCTAAGACCTAGACCCTAAACCCTAAACCCTAAACCCTAAACCCTAAACCCTAAACCCTAAACCCTAAACCCTAAACCCTAAACCCTAAATCCTAAACCCTAAACCCTAAACCCTAAACCCTAAACCCCAAACCCTGAACCCTCTAAACCCTGAACAACCCCAGACACCACAACCTAAACCCTATAAACGCAGAGCCCAACTCCCGCAACCGCCAAGCCTTCGTGTCCAGCAACCCGACAGTGTAGGGTTTTAGGGTTTTAGGGTTTTAGGGTGTAGGGTTTTGGGGTTTTAGGGTTTAGGGTTAGGGCTTTGGGTAGCAGAGCTGAGATGCACACCTCTTCAAGGACAAGGTTGTGCTGGAGGCACCGGGCACGCTGTTGTTTGCAGTTCAGTGTTCACTGTTCACCCCACAATGGGACTAATGTTTAGGTAAAGCCTAAACAGACCCTAAAACCCTATAAACCCTATATACCCTAAATACCCTAAACCCTAAACCCTAAACCCTAAAACCCTGTGTTGCGTTCATAGGCGTTGAGCCGCGTACCGGTTGAAGTTTTGAAGCCAGCGAGCTCATGAACTCTTGCAGCGCCTGGGGGGGGGGGGGGCCCTGAGCTTCGTAAGCACACGTAGGGTTTAGGGTTTAGGGTTTAGGGTTTAGGGTTTAGGGTTTAGGGACGTGCCCAAGCCGAGCTTCGAACAGATCATTCTCCGCCTTAGGGTTTGGGGTTTGGAGCGTTTAGAAGCCTCCGGAGGCTTCCTGAGAGCAGCTGCCCTAAAGGCGAAACCCTGAGCCCTCAGTAGGAAGCCCTGAGTTCAAGTTGACGAGGCTGACAGAGGCCTTTCTCCCGCAATCCTCTTCTTGAAAGTTCGTGAAAGTCAATTCAGAGGGCCCGTCCTTGTCCCTTTCATAGAACCGGATTTACCGCTGGCAAGTAGGCCTCTTTCAGATTCAGGCTCCAGGCGACCCCAGGAGGGTGCTTTGCAGACCCTCAGCCCTCGGGCCCTACACCCTGAACCCGAACCTTAGAGCCCTGAACCCTAAGCCCTAAACCCCAAACCCTGAACCCCAAACCCCAAACCCTTAAATCCCAAACCCTAACCCCAAACCCTAAACCTCAAATCCTCGCCTGCTTCAAAGGTCTGTGCAGGGCTAGGGCTATGCTCCCTGTTCGCTGCAAAGGTGGGGGTGCCAGAGAGGGCGGGGGTGGCGCTAGGTTGAGACCAGGATCTAGGGTTGAGGCTTCAGGTTTTAGGGTTTAGGTTTTGGGGTGGTTTAGGGTGTAGGGTTTAGGGTTTAGGGTGTAGGGTCTAGGGTTTAGGGTTTAGGGTTTGGGGTTTACCAAGCCTTTTCGCTCGACCCTAAGCCGTAAATCCCAAAAAGTCCTTCTGTGCGAGGGGGCCATCTGGGTTATGGCATCGGACCCTCAAAGTTCTCAGGATGAACCCTTTCTTGGCAGGCCTTCACCCTTGGAGAGTCGCGCAAGCCCGAAATCCTGGTAATCCCCAAGCCATATGGTTTAGGGTTTAGGGTTTAGGGTTTAGGGCAGTTGTGGCTTCTGGTTTGCTTTTGGGTTCAGGTTTTCTCCGGTTGAGAGTCACAGGGTTTGCATATTCGGGTCCCCCACACCTCGCCCAATGGGCTGCCGTCAAGAATCTATGACCTGAAGTAATCGAAAGTATTTGGGGGTCCTCTGTCTTTGGGGCGGCTTAGGCATCTCAAGAGTTCGCAGAGTTTGCAGGGAGGTTGCAGGGAGTTTGGAGGGTGGAGGCTGCCAGGGGCATTAGGCAAAATTCAAAAAGCTTCGGTCTTCAGCCGTCGCTTCCAGCCCATGGTTGTATGGCGGAGGGGTTTTCAGCATCTAGTTGAGCAGAGAAGCAGCCGAGACCAAGAAGACTTGAAGATAGGGTTTGGGCTGAGGGTTTAGGGTTGAGTCTTGGCTGGTGCAAGGCCCAGGGGTCCAGCGGGCAGTTAGCTTGATCTGTGGAAGGATGGCCGAGCCTTGAGGAATCAACTAGGGGTCACCCGATAGGCTCAGAGCGGAAGAGTCTCAGCCTTGGCTGTGAGTCCCAACTCCCCGATCCTGCAAGAAATGGTGGGAGGATCCCCAAACCCAGGAAAGCAAAGTCCCCAACCCCCCAACCCTCAACCCTTAACCCTCTAAACCCTGCAGCGTACACATTCAGCCCTCAACTGCTTGACAGGCCGGTGCTCGGAAGGTCATTGCCCTCGAGGCGCCCCTGGCATTCTGTGTTCTGGGAGTTTAGGGTTCCAGGTTTCGGGTTTAGGGTTTAGGGGTTCGGGTTTGGGGTTTAGGGGTTTAGGGGTTTAGGGGTTTAGGGGTTCGGGTTTAGGGTCTAGGATTGTTTGGGGTTTTGTTGGGGCCGGGGGGGGGGGGGGGGGGGCCCGACTGGCCCGGCCTGCTGATCACTGCACATCAACCTTGAAGCCTGCTCCGCAAGCCCCTGAGCCCCCTGAAGCCCGACACGCGTAGTGCGCATGCTTCAGCGCCCTCCTAAACCCTGACTAAACCCTACAACCCCTAAACCCCAAAAATCCCTAATGCCCCTAAACCCTAAACCCTAAACCCTAAACCCTAAACCCTAAACCCTAAACCCTAAACCCTAAACCGGCGAGTAGGACCGGGCGAGCGCAGTCCCATCGATTTCCTCCTCTTACGCTATGGTCGTTGGGAGCCCCTAAACCCTAAACCCTAAACCCTAAACCCTAAACCCTAAACCCTAAACCCTAAACCCTAAACCCTAAACCCTAAACCCTAAACCCTAAACCCTAAACCCTACACCCCTAAACTCTAAACCCTAAACCCTAAACCCTAAACCCTAAACCCTAAACCCTAAACCCTAAACCCTAAACCCTAAACCCTAAACCCTAAACCCTTGGACTCTAAACCCCGACCTTAAAAACAGAGGTCCACCAAGAGCTTGTCGACATCGGCCGCGAGGTGGCGCAGAAGAACGGCTTCGGTGAGGCCGCACTTCAGGGCTTAAGGGGTTTAAGGGGTTTAGGGTTTAGGGTTTAGGGCTTAAGGGGTTTAGGGTTTGGGGTTTAGGGTTTAGGGGTTTAGGGTTTAGGGTTTAGGGGTTTAGGGTTTAGGGTTTAGGGCTTAAGGGGTTTAGGGTTTGGGGGTTTAGGGGTTTAGGGGTTTAGGGTTTAAGGGTTTAGGGTTTAGGGTTGGGTTTAGGGTTTAGGGTTTAGGGTTTAGGGGTTTAGGGTTTAAGGGTTTAGGGGTTTAGGGGTTTAGGGGTTTAGGGGTTTAGGGTTTTAGGGATTTAGGGATTTAGGGGTTTGGGGGTTTAGGGGTTTAGGAGGCTCAGGAGGGTCGATGCTTCCGCTCTCGTGCTAACCTCGTTTTAAAGAACACCCCCCCCTCCACTTTTATCCTGAACCCGCCTTACCTGGAACCTAAACCCTCTGGACCGGGGTAATTGAGGGGGGGTGAAGCATGAAGTTCCGGGCTGGGAGTTTCTCAATTGAGGAGGGGTTTATAAAAATGAGGTTATTATGAGGGGGGGGGTGTTTGAGGCACAGGGGTTCACGGGTGGATCTTGTGTGGGCTTTGGGGCTTGGGGCTTTAAGAGCTTTAAGCGCTTAGGGCTTTCGGGCTTTAGATTTTTTCAGGGGGGGGGGGGTGGGTTTAGGAAGGGTTCAAGGGTGAAGGGGTGTAGGGTTCGGCGCTTTGGGATCTAGCGGTCAAGGTGTGTAGGGTGTACGGTTTGGGGTGTGGGCAAGCTTAGGGTTTGGGGTGGGGTTTATGGTTTAGGGTGAGCTTGGGTTCAACGTCCTACACTAAACCTAAATCCTTTCCACAGCCGGGGTGGTTGGAGGTGATCGAGTTCGTCTGCGCTCGACCCAGGCAAGCTTCAAGAGGGGATGAGCTTTAGGATTTAGGGTTTCGGGGTTTAGGATTTAGGGGTTTAGGGGTTTAGGGGTTTATGGTTTCGGGGTTTAGGATTCAGGGGTTTAGGGGTTTATTCAGTGGTTTAAGGGGTTTAGGGTTCAGGGGTTCAGGGGGTTTAGGGTTTAGGAGTTTAGAGTTTGGCTGTTCAGGCATTTAGGGCTTTCCGTAATTGGGAAGTTAGGGTTTAGCTAGACCCTCGCCTGAAGTTGGTTGAAGCTTCGGGTTCCGAATGCCCGAGGGTCTTCTGCAACAATTTCAGGGCTTGCGGCGGTTGGGGTTTAGGGCTGGTTTGGGGTTCGGGCTTAGGATTTAGGGTTCAAAGTT